GACTCCAATTTCTTCTTATATCTGCCTGGATGCATTACAGCAGAAGTAACAAAGTAGGTGATTTCACCATAGGGTTTCACATAATTATAGTAAAACTCTGTGCTTCATTCCTACCCTCCTCTGTAGCTATTTCCAGATTTGGAATCTCTAATTTCTTTAGAAAATTCAGAAAATTTTAGAAAATCTCAGGTCTCCTGTGTTTTGTTGTGGGGGCAGTAACAGAGAGGGGAATTGAGGGGGAAGGTACAAGGGCTTGCCACCTCGTTGCAAGTGACAGTAATGCAAGAAGAGACAAATGGACCATTGGGACAAAATGGAAACTGAGTACTGATGCATGAATACAATCCATGCATGCATGGTAGCCTTTTTTTGGGGGGTAGGGGGGTAGGGAGGATGGAGTTTTGCTCTTGTTGCCCAGGTTGGAGTACAGTGGCGCAATCTGGGCTTACCACAACCTCTACCTCCTGAGTAGCTGGGATAACAGGCATGCGCCACTATGCCCAGCTAATTTTTTGTATTTTTAGTAAAGATGAGGTTTCCCCACATTGGTCACGCTGGTCTTGAACTCCTGACCTCATGTGATCCGCTCACCTTGGCCTCCGTAAGTGCTGAGATTACAGGTGTGAGTCACCGCACCTGGCCACATGAGAGCTTTAAGAGTGGCACAAATCAGGAGGGGAAATGGATTTTTTAGTAGAGAGTACTTGGCTCACTATATGGAGAACAAAACCATCCTTTTCTAATACCATACATAAAGATGAATTCTGGGGTGGGGGAAAGGGTCTGACCACTCAGTATTCAGACTTAAAATCAACTCTCTTTTAAGTTTTACACTATGCGTATCCCTTCTTTCCAGAGTACTTAGTTCCTCCTGGTCTGAGCCATGCCAGAGCTCTCTCCCTTCTCCTCAGTAGCCCTTTTTACAGAATCTAGAATTACAGGCTGCTCCTCTGTTCAGCCAGTAATCAGGTCTCTATCTGCTTTCCATCTTCCAAAAATTTCAACATCCTCTTCCTCATTGCTGTTTTCTTCTTAGGTATCTTTGTCTTTTTGTCCTTGTGAGTTTACATTTGTTTTATTCCTTTACTATAATATTAGGGCTCTGAAGGAAATAAAATTAAACATATTCAATTTGTTATGTTTAAATGAAAATCAAGGGAAGTTAAATCTGGTCCTAAATGCCAGGTCTGTAAGTTGAGGCCCCATTACATACTTGAGATTACCGACTACCTGCTTTTCCCTATTTATATAAAACACATTCTCTGTAGGCCAAGAACTCCAACCCTCCAGGCTTATTTTTTTGAGACAGAGTCTCACTCAATTGCCCAGGCTTGGGGTTCATTGGCGCGATCTTGGCTTACTGCAACTTCCACCTCCTGGGTTCAAGCAATTCTTGTGCCTCAGCCTCCCAAGTAGCTGTGATTACAGGTATGCATCACCACGTCCAGCTAATTTTTGTTTCTTTTAGTAGAGACGGGGTTTCACCATGTTGGTCAGGCTGGTCTCGAATCCCTGACCTCAAGTGATCTGACTGCCTTGGCCTCCCTGGAATTACAGGCATTTGAACCACTGCACTAGGCCCCAAGAATCCTTTCTTTTACCCACTTGCCAAACTACTCTAGCTGTCTGCTTACACTGCCTTCTTTTTTTTTTTCTTAAGACAAAATCTCACTCTATCACCCAGGCTGGAGTGCAGTGGTGCAATCTTGGCTCACTCCAACTTCCACCTCCTAGGTTCAAGTGATTCTGTGCCTCAGCCTCCCAAGTAGCTGGGATTACAGATGTGTGCCAACACATTCAGATAATTTTTTTGTATTTTTATTATTATTTTTTGAGATGGAGACTTGCTCTGTCTTCCAGGCTGGAGTGTAGTGGTGCACTCTCGGCTCACTGCAACCTCTGCCTCCTAGGTTCAAACAATTCTGCCTCAGCTTCTCGAGTAGCTGGGACTAGAAGTGTATACCACCATGCTGGCTAATTTTTGTATTTTTTGGTAGAGATGGGGTTTTACCATGTTGGTCAAGATGGTCTCAAATTCCTGGCCTCAAGTTATCCATCCATCTCAGCCTCCCAAAGTGCTAGGATTACAGGTGTGAGCCACTGTGCCTGGCCTAAATTTTTTTTTTTTTTTTTTTTGTAGAGACGAGGTCTCACTATCCTGCCCAAGCTGGTCTCAAACTCTTGGGCTCAAATGATCCTCCTCCCTCAGCCTCCCAAAATGTTGGGATTACAGGTGTGAGCCACCGCACAGGGCCTAGTAAAATTATTTTTTAAACTTAAGTTATTAAAAAAAAAAACAACTATGTGGTAGTGAAAGACATATGTTGTGGTAATTATTATAATTTAGCAGCTAACATTTACTGAATGTTTACTATGTAACAGGTGCTATTCAAATCATTTAACATATTATTTCCTTTAATCCTCATATAGTGTTTACTATCCTTATTTTACAAATGAGAAAAGAGGAGCTTAGGCAATGTGACCTGGTTAAGGTCAAACTAAGACATGGTAGACAGGAATTCAAACCTAGTCTGTCTGGTTCTAGAACTTGAACTCTTGAGATTTATGGTATAAAATCCTACCTCAAGTGACCTAATATTCTTCTTCCTTTGGAAATGAGGTAAAAATTATGTTACCATTATGGTCTCTTATAAACGCTAATATGAATATTTCATGGGTATGGGAGAAAGATAAGCCCCATGTGGGTTACAAAAAACAAAACAAAAATAACTCAAACTCTATTTTGAGTAACAAAGGGAAAAAGAAGAGCACGTATACCCACATTTAAGGGAACATTTGTACACAAGATTTTTTTTGCTTACCAGATTAGGTAATGCAAATTTTAAGTTACCAGATTAGGTAATGCAAAAAGTATTATTTTATATCTTTAAATACACTGAATAAAATATAACTTTAAGCTAAACACTAAAAAAAAAATTAACTCAAGATAAGCTCTAGATAAATAATTAAGTATTACCAAAGATCTAAGAGTTGGCTGACAATTTTACTTTGCATATAAAACTTTAAAAACCGGCTGGGTGTGGTGGTTCACGCCAGCAGTCTTGGCATATTGGGCAGCCAAAGGGGGTGGATCACCTGAGGTCAGGAGATTGAGATCAGCTGACCAACATGGTGAAACTCCGCCTCTTCTAAAAATACAAAAATTAGTTGGGCGTGGTAGCAGGTGTCTGTAATACCAGCTACTCTGGAGGCTGAGACAGAAGAATCACTTCAACCCAGGAGGCAGAGGTTGCACTGAGCCGAAATCCTGCCACTGCCCTCCAGCCTGGGCGACAAGAGCAAGACTTTATCTTTAATACAACAAAAAAACCACACACACACAAAAAAAACCCTGAAAAAACATATATTAAGGAATGCTTTCTCATACGTATATATTATTTGGTTTCTTATTAAAAGGCATCAAAGATAAAAAATTTTCAGAAAATAGAGACGATTATATGTTTTCGGTAATGTTGCAAACTTCAAATTTTTCGTAGAAGCAATGTCTGATAAATTTAGTTTTACAGAAAAAATGAATAGTAGCTTAAACTGCTACAATATTTTTGATAACATTTTTCTTATAGTTTGACATCTAAATAGTCTATTATTAGTACATGATTCTTATTTTAAACTAATAAAATGTTTTAATGACATTTTGATTGTTGTAATAAAATAAAACATATATTATAAAAGGATTATGGTAAAATAAGATTTTTAAAAGATTGTAAAAGAAGTCTCAACATTTTCTCACTGTTTATCAATGCCTTCTTCTGTATAACTTCCCATTTTGTTATGAGATTTTTAAAAAATAGAGCTGAGTTCTCACTGTATTGCCCAGAGTAGAGTACAGTAGCTAGTCACAGGTATGATCACAATTTGATGTAGCCCTGAACTCCTGATCTCAAGCAATCTTCCTGCCTCGGCCTCCCACGTAGATGGAACTACAACCACACACCACTGAGACTAGCTTGATGTTATTTTACTGGAGTTATCTGTCAATTTCTCAAAGCCCGATTGATAGGCTGACTTAACCATATAATACATATTATTTTCAAGTCTGGTACTTAGCTTTCCTTATTTAAATTCATGTCTCTTACCCAAACCATTAATATTCGCTTCTAACTTGCAACTTCTAATGTTCCTTTAGCTAATATGCATTAGCTAAATTAAATTTCTCAAGTAGTCTCGTGTCATACATTTTCTTTTAATATATGGTCACAGAAAGCTAAGAATGCACTCTGTCAAAACAGCAAATTGTCTTTGCTCTCCTACAAAAGGTCTCTCTCCAGCTCAGAAATATTTAAGATTCTAACATTTACTAAGAAATATATACTTGGAATGCAACTTTCATGAATTTGTTTGCCTATAACACAAAAAAATGTGCTGTCCTAATTTAAAAATTTTAGTTTAAATTAAATGAAGAAGGCACATGAGTCTAGCACTGTGCTTTACATGCTGTAGGCTGTTGCTTGATGTACAAGTTGAATCTAAAAATAAGATATGAAATGTTTTAAAATTTAAATCTGAAGCCCTGCCCAATTCTGATTAACTAAATTTGTATCTAAACGTGACTATCTTCATTTTTGTAATGAATTTTTATTCTTATCCAAACTTTTAAACATCAACAAGGTACAGAACATAAATATGAGACTCTAACCTTAAAATATGGGAAACTGAGCTCTTTCAAAGCTCAGGTGGAGACGGTGTAGGTTGGTAATTATATATTCCCACACCTATTGTCTTACATTAGGGAAGAAAGTACCTCAAGTCTCATTTAATGCTCTTAGTCACTAGTACTGAATGCTTGATTTTAATAGTAAATAAAGAACCACATAATTACTGACCCTCAATCTTTCTCAGATGTCTTAACTGAAGGTTCACAAAAACTGACTCTGTAACATCCCAAACACTGAAACCATCATTCTCTACTAGTTGTGTTTTCAATTTGGAAGAGAAATAGATAATTCTAGAAATCAAAATTAAAAATCAGAACTTCATACCTTGTGCAAGCATGTTAAATTCCAAGAACAGTGCTATGTGGTAAAGTTCCATGGCTTCTTCTGCCCTGGTCACGTTTGGCTTTCCAGCGACGAGAGCCTGAACTTCACTGAGACTCCCGACAGAGGGGCTACAGTGCAAAACAGAGAGGTCCACCACGTCGGTATACATACAGTGTAATATCACTTTTGCATATTTTTTTGGTATAATCGACTCATCTAATATAATTCTTGTGGGAGTCCTCAAAGTTCGGTCTGTGATTTCTTCACCAGTTCGTATCCTCCTTTGTAATAAATTTCGAAAAAATGGGGACCGTGCAGAAATAACAGCCTTGTGGGCTTTGAGCTCTTCATCTAAACAGTTCTGATTTCCACCAAAAGCTTCAACCAGTTCAGAGTCTGACGAAAAACTAAGGACGACATCATAATAGCACATGTAATCAAAGAGTCCACGCATATCTACATCAAGGGAATTTGGTGTTCCAAATTCTTCACTAAGCTGAACAAGGATATCGACATTTTGAAACCTTGAGTCCTCCATTCCAAACTCTCCTGTATAAAGGTAGTGTAACAAAGCAGAAAACATGGGCATATCAATACCAGCTGTATTGATGTCCATTATTATCTCTGCCCCATACTCAGGTGAGGAAGAAAGCAGTGTTTTAAAAAATGGACATCTTGCTGCCAAAATGGCACGATGAACAGGAAAACAAGTTTCTTGAAATATTAAGTCTACATCAGTACAATACTTGTACTCATAAAGATCAGCCATATCTTTCTGCAATGTCCGGGCTTCTGGTCTAGCCAAACTGGCTTGTAGAGAAAGCTCCTTTAATGCTGACGTTCCCTCATATTCCTCCACTAATGCATTGACATCTCTAACATCCCACCCAGAGAGGAGTTCTCGCATCTGCTTGGCATGATCAGCGGACCTATTAGATTTTCGACGCTTAATAAACTTCTTTTTGAGGGTGGCAAGGCCAGAGGTTCTCTTTTTTTTGTCTTGCGGTTTCTCATGGCCATGGTCAAGGCTATACAATTTTGATTCGCAACCATAGCCTTGCTGAGAATAGGATGATGTCCCTAAGAAGAAAATTAAACAAATAAAAATTTGTTTCTTTTTTCTTAACATTCATTTTCAACATTTACTTTAACATTTTTCATGCTGAAAAATTTTGCAAGCAGACATTACTGAACCACTCAAAATTGCATTTGTTTTGTATAAAGAAAAAGTTCAAAAGTTCAAATAACTCATTTTAGTTTTCAATTTAATTTTTAGAAATAGAGTCTCACTCTGTTGCCCAGGCTGGAGTACAATGGTGAGATCATAGCTCACTGCAGCCTCAAACTTCCGGGCCCAAGGGATTCTCCCTAACTTCAGCTTCCCAAGTAGCTACGATTAAGGTGCGTGTCACCATGCCTGGCTAATTAAAAAAAAAAACAACAAAAAAACACCTTTTTTTTTTTTTTTCTGTAGAGATAGGGTCTCACTTGTTGCCAGGCTGTCTTGAACTCCTGTCCTAGCCCCATGCAATCTTCCTGCCTTGGCCTTCTAAAGTGTTGGGGTTACAGGTGTAAGCCATAGTGACCAGTCTTCATTTTTTTTTATATTAAATAAGAAATAGGGATGAACAGAGCAAATCAGTCCAAATTTTTTTAGAAAAAGTCTTTCATCCCCTGGCTATCAAAGAACATATAGATCTTAATCATGAGTTTTTTAGAAAATGAAAAGTAGGCAGAGTTGTAAATTAAGAATATTACTTGTATATAATTGTGAAATGTTTCTTTTTCTTCTTAATTATACAAGTCTGCATTTGTATGGGCAAAATAAATGAAACGGGACATCTGTACTTCGCTGTTTTCACACCAATGGAGATTGCCAATTTGCCTAGGTTAACTGGCAGTTATGGTTAAAACACAGAAAAGCTCAACTGTGCTACAAGCGGTTTGTTTAGGATAAAAATCATACAAGCCAGATTTAAGATTTACATTTGTTGGGGGAAAAAAATCTAGATGCTACAGAATTATAATAACTACAGCTCACTTCTCTTGTCATCCACAGAGACTACCGAAAACACAATTCTACTTACAGTCACAAAAGAAAATGAAGTTAGAAAAACTGAAAGTTACCTATAAAAGTCTGTTGGGCCTGTGAATTTCCCCCTACCCTCGGGGAACATGAATGAGGATAATTAGATGCATTAGCACCCATTTTCTTCAGTCACTCAGGCATTCCGTCTGCGGGTTCTTCAGAGCATAATCCCAGAGGCCTTTAGGAACCTTCAACCCTGGATCCAGCAGCCTCTTTTCATCCATTTCTTGATATGAAACAAAAATAATTTAATTCATTTTTTCAAGTGTATCTCAAATCATGGTTTTTTTTTTTTTTTTTAAAGCTACTGAAAACTGGTTTCATTCACAAATAACACGTTGTCAAATTCACATGTTAAATTTTCATAAAATGTAAATAAATCTTTAAGCTTTAATTATCAATCTGTGTTAGCTGCAATTTTGAGCCACAAAATGTACCAATTATATATTTTCTAAGCCAGTAAAAAGTAACATATCAGACCAATTTAAATATATAGTTACAGGAAGAATATTTCAAAACACAGGGAAAAGAATTTGGACTGAAAAGAAATGTTTTAAATCCTTAGAGGTAACCGGCATTCATTATTATCTAACATTGTAAGCAGTTTACAAATGCTTAAGAGGTCAACACCAGTACTGCGAGTATAAAGAACACATCGCTGATTAGTTTGTTGTTTTTCTGCCTTAAAATAAAGTTGCTGAACATCAATCTTTAATCTGTATAATTAGGCATTTTTCTAAAAGAGGGAGGAGGAAAGGTGAACAATGAAAGCTAAATATATGTAGGCTGCTTGTTCTATGGTAATTTTGAAAGAAGTTATTATACACATGGCAAAAGACATGAAACAAAAAATTTTATCTATCCACTCCATAAAGCCCTGAAACAAAAATACTGCTTTCTTTTATCTGATATGATGATTTAAATGAATAGGGCAGTAGCAGTAAGTGCTAATTCTAATAATTATAGATTAAATTCTGAACATGGAACCTTAACTTTCAGAGCTGCTAGCAAGAGATGTATGCAAAAAAAAAATTCTAAGAGAGAAGAGGACTAATAGAAATGCTGCTAAATCTTTACAACATCTGTAAAGATTTACCTGACTAAATGGGGTAACAGTTTAAAAAGAGAAAACACAATTTAAAATCTATTACTGGAATTAAGAAACCAACCAGCAGGCAGTTAACCTAGCCTCATAATGAAGAATGAAGTGTTTCAACAAATACAGTGAAAAACACATACACAAATTACCACAAAAACCCTGCTAGAAACAGAACTGTGTCAAGATGCTTGGAATTTATTTTCATTTGTTAGTGATAAAGCATAACCTTATGAATTCATGTTTAAGAATATTGCTGTTAACATCTGTGTTTTCCTATAATCTTTTATAGACTATATTTATATAAAAACTAATTAATTAATTACTTATTTAGACAGAGGCTCGCTCTGGCACTCAGGCTGGAGTGCAGTCGTACAATCTTGGCTCACTTTAACCTCCGCCTCCTGGGTTCAAGCGATTCTCCTGCCTCAGCCTCCTGAGTAGCTGGGACTACTGGTGAGTGCCACCATGTCTGGCTATTCGTATTTTTAATAGAGATGGGGTTTCACCATGTTGGCCAGGCTGGTCTTGAACTCCTGGTCCCAAGTGATCCACCCTCCTTGGCCTCCCAAAGTGATGGGATTATAGGTGTGAGCCACTGTGTCAGCCATGAAAATTTATTTATCTAAACATATAATTACCACTTGCAGTGTTCAGGATAAGATTGGGAAACTTACTAACTATAGATACTACGAAAAGTAGCAGTAACTCTAATCAAATCATATACTTATATAAGCAAATTTCCTATTTGAAACTTATCTACCTACCTATAAGAACAATGCCATTAGACTTTACTTCAGTTCACACTACTGGAAGTAAGAAAGGCTGTGGGTAGCCAGATACACAGACAGTGCATTCTGTAAGAACTAGAACTACACAGCAAGGATTCCAAAGGGTTTAATATATAGTCTGCCCTTCGTATTCCACGGGTTCTGCACCTATAGTTCAACCAACTGCAGATTGAAAATATTTGGGGGGAGGGGAAAGAAAATTTTGGGGGAATTAAAAAAAAGAACTGTTGCAGCTATACTGAAGGGTTTTTGAATGTTGTCAATTTTTGCAAAGAAAGGAACTAAAATTACCTGTATTAATTCCACTTCAAACTTAAAAACCGGTTAAGTAAAACAAATCTTAGTTTTAAAGCTGAGCTCCACTGAAGCTTCAAGATCCTATCAGGCTTTGTATAGGAGTTCTTTCAAAGAAAATAAGGGCCTGGAGGCCAAGATTGTGGCCTCACTTATAGGTCAAATCCTAATCTCACTCACTAAGGGCTTACATTTAAAACACAAAAAACAGCACAAACAATCCTTTCTCAAAAAAGTTGAAAATATATTAACAAAAATACAGAATAAAACTTCGCTTTTTTTGAGATGGAGTTTTGCTCTTGTTGCCCAGGCTGGAGTGCAATGGTGTAATCTCAGCCCACTGCAACCTCTGCCTCCTGGGTTCAAGTAATTCTCCTGCCTCAGCCTCCCTCAGCTGAGACTGTAGGCATGTGCCACCATGCCTGGCTAATTTTATATTTTTAGTAGAGACTCGGTTTCCCCATGTTGGTCAGGCTGGTCTTGAACTCTTGACCTCAGATGACCCACTTGCCTTGGCCTCCCAAAGTGCTGGGATTACAGGTGTGAGCCATTTCGTCCAGCCCAGCATGAAACTATTATGCAAAATAAAAAGGCTTTACTAAAATGAAGGTGGGGGAAAGAGTTTAAAGATGAACTTGGAATCCAGGTGTAATGGGAGATGGTGAAAATCATATTGAAGCGTTTCTAAAGGTAAGACAACATGGTGTCACTCCCATGGCTAAGCCTCTTCTCACTTTCAAGTTCCATAGTCTTTTTTTTCTCTCTCTCTCTTTTATTTCTATTGACTGAGAGTAAACTCAGTAACACAGCACCAGAGTATGCTTATGGCACAAAATTGTTCAAATAAAACAAGGAAGAATACAGCTTTCTCTCTGGATGAAGAAAAATCAGAAGCGTCTTTAGAAGTGGACAAGAGCTTACTACTCTTACTTTATGACACGTACATGGACGCACACACGTTACTATTTTTATCTGAGAATCTTGTATGGTTTGTAGAGACTCAGGATGCTACATGTTGAGCATCTGTAATCAGAGAATCCCAAATCTGAAACGCTCCAAAATCCAATACTTTTTGAGTGCTGACAGGATGCCACAAGTGGAAAATTCTGGAGCTGTCTTGTTTGCTTTTTGATGGTTCAATGTACATAAACTGTTTCATCCACAATATTATTTAAAATATTGTATAAAATTACCTTCAGGCTATGTCTATAAAGTGTGTATGAACCATAAATGAATTTTGGGTTTAGGCTTGGGTCCCCTACCAAGCTATCTTATTATTATCTATCTTATTATCTTGTGTAGACACAAATATTCCAAAATTGGAAAAATCCCCAAATCTGAAACACTTCTGGTTCCAAGCATTTCGGATAAGGAATACTCAATGTGTATTACAGTGGTTTAATACTTAAACCATGTCAAAAATGCCTTTAAACAAACAAACAAACAAACAACAACAAAAAAAACCTCTGGTAAGGGAAGAATGCCAAGAAAGAAGAAAACAAAATTTAAAAAGCTCTATTTTGTCATGAGTACAATTAGATATTCTAAAGCAATTATACAAGAGTTATATGACATCAATGGCCCCTATGGAGAAACAAGAACAAGTTGCAAACACTAAAGGAAGTCAGAGGCTGACAGCTAAGGATGTTTGGCCATTTGGCACTACAATAAGCAGTAGTAGCTGCTGGGAGAGCTGGGGTTTTGCCTTAGAGAGGTGGCCTGAAATACAAGTGTTTTTGGGATTTAAGGAAGGTCTCTTCCTGGTAGCTCCTGCTTAATGGGAACTCCCTTCAGGATGAACTGATTTGGGGACATCCATATATCCTACTGGAGCTCTACATACTAAAACAAACACAGACCTTAGAAGGCAAGGGAGGTTGGGGAGGTCTGCCTGGATCAGACGTATCCCTTGAGTTGAGTCTACCTGTATGCCCCAGTTTCAAAGCTTCAAGGGTACCCAGACTATAGTTCTAGTAGTACAGCAATATTTCTTCTCCAAATTAATTCAGGGATTAGTTTCATTACTTCTCAGGTAACCAAATCCTATGCCAAATGGTGCTCAGTATTATGTTATTTATTTCTTAATCTAAACCATCACTTTTAGATGCTGGTAATGAGAACTAGTCTCAGTCCAATCTCTCCAGCAATGTGTTCTCTCCAGGTAAAGCTGGTCTCTCCTACAGACATCCAATCTTTAGATGATGTAAAGGAGAGGGGAGTAAGGAGAGGGAAGAGGAGAGAAGGTCTACAGGACTTGGAGAGGTCCAGAAGACACAAATGGCTGATGAATCCCTTTTCTAGAATCACCATTCTGGGGGACTCCCTCTTAATAGCACATGATCAGTCCCAATTGGATGCTGCTGACTGTCTTATGACAAAACAAGCTCCAGTGATCATGGCAGACCCAACTGTGGGGTGGGGATGGGGAATCACGTTGAATGCAAGAGAGACTAAACAACCCTATGAGACATTTTTTTAAAAAACAGAAGTCAACTTTCTCCTCCCTAAGCTACCCCCTGAACCCCAGCCCCAAAAATAAAGCCCCAGGCCAGCATTTTCCAAAGTGTTTGTCCAAAATTTAGAAAATGTAGGATTAAACAAATACAAATAGGTTTCTTTACTTGAGGACATCTGAGCACCTTTAAAGTGCTAAGGTTGATTGTAAAGAGGGAGTATTCAGCATGATCTAAAAAAGCCCTGTTGCTCCCACAGGGCATAAATAAATGAACTTGCATAGCACACTCTGGAAAATGCTGATCTTTGCCATAACACTTTTTATTGCTTCATGCAACAGAAAGAACTGTGGAAGTTAAGGTTTCTAGGATTCTGTTATCTCTGTCACTAATTTACCATGTATGTAGGACATGTCACATGTAATCTCTATGGGCCTCAGTTCCTGTACCTGTAAAATAAGGGCGCTGAAAAAGAGACCCAAAAATTTAACAAAGTTGTATGGTTTATTAATCTAGGAAATAAGAATGGGGAACCCCTCCTTCCCTCCCTTCCTTTCTTTTCTCTTTCATTTTTAATATATATTTTATTGCATTTTAGGTTTTGGGGTACATGTAAAGAACATGCAAGACTGTTGCATAGGTACACACATGGCAATGTGGTTTGCTGCCTTCCTCCCCATCACCTATATCTGGCATTTCTCCCCAGGTTATCCCTCCCCAACTCCCCATACCCCCTGTCCCTCCCCTAGTTCCCCCCAACAGACCCCAGTGTGTGATGCTCCCCTCTCTGTGTCCATGTGTTCTCACTGTTCAACACCGCCTATGAGTGAGAACATACGGTGTTTGATTTTCTGTTCTTGTGTCAGTTTGCTAAGAATGATGGTTTCCAGGTTCACCCATGTCCCTACGAAGGACACGGAACTCATCGTTTTTTATGGCTGCATATATGTGCCACATTTTCCCTGTCCAGTCTATCATCGATGGGCATTTGGGTTGGTTCCAAGTCTTTGCTATTGCTAATAGTGCTGCAATGAACATTTGTGTGCATGTGTCCTTACAACAGAATGATTTATAATCCTTTGGATATATACCCAGTAATGGGATTGCTGGGTCAAATGGAATTTCTATTCCTAGGTCCTTGAGGAATTGCCGCACTGTCTTCCACAATGGTTGAACTAATTTACACCCCCCACTGACAGTGTTAAAAGTGTTCCTATTTCTCCACATCCTCTCCAGCATCTGTTGCCTCCAGATTTTTTAATGATCACCATTCTAACTGGCGTGAGATGGTACCACAATAGTTTTGATTTGCATTTCTCTAATGACCAGTGATGATGAGCATTTTTTCATGTTTGTTGGCCTCATATATGTCTTCTTTTGCAAAGTGTCTGTTCATATCCTTCTCCCACTTTTGAACAGCTTGTTTTTTTCTTGTAAATGTTTTAGTTCTTTGTAGATTCTGGATATTAGCCCTTTGTCAGATGGGTAGATTGCAAAAATATTGTCCCATTCTGTTGGTTGCTGATTCACTCTAATGACTGTTTCTTTTGCTGTGCAGGAGCTCTGAATTTTGATTAGGTCCCATTTGTCTATTTTGGCTTTTGTTGCCAATGCTTTTGGTGTTTCAGTCATGAAGTCCTTGCCTATGCCTATGTCCCGAATGGTTTTGCCTAGATTTTCTTCTAGGGTTTTTATGGTGTTAGGTCTTATGTTTAAGTCTTTAATCCATCTGGAGTTAGCTTTAGTGTAAGGTATCGCGAAGGGGTCTGGTTTCTGCTTTCTGCACATGGCTAGCCAGTTTTCCCAACACCATTTATTAAACAGTGAATCCTTTC